AGAGAGAGAGAGAGAGAGAGAGAGAGAGACGAATATATTTGAAAATAAAAGGGAAATATAAAAAATATAATTTTTTGTCGCGTTAATTTAAATGCCATTCAGTTTATCGATAATAAAGTTTACTGTTAAAGTGAAATGAAAATAACAAACTATTATTTGAAAAGAAAATACAAAAAATATCAGACAGTCTATGAAATTATAGGGAATTAATATTAAAAATTAATAATAATAGTGTCTCTCCTTTGGGAAAGGGATGGGAAGAGGCGATTGAAAACAAATTTTAAATCCTTGTACTATTCACCATAATTGATTAATCATGATATATTCCTTATAATTTATCTATAGTACCAATAAATTAATATATTGTCTGTTTTGACACCACATATACGGTTTGCGATCGTTATAATTGTTTTACACGTTTTGCAGCCTTTTTTGCAACCAATATATGCATACAATATATGCATCAATACATATATAATATACAGAATATTCTGTGCATTCCGTGTATTGCAGTACACGTGTGTGCATTTTATTTTGCAGCTCACACTCGGTCAATGTGCTCCCTATCCCCCCGGGCCGGTCCCGTACCGGCAAACCCCCGCCCGCACCCAACACTCACTAATGTATTCGCAGCCGAGAAATAGGGAAACAAATTGTAAGAAAAGAAATAACTTTCTCTTTATATTTTTTAATTATAGTACTAATAGTTATATTATTAGTGCAAAAAGTTTCTTATTATATTAATTCAAAAGAAAATCCATATATGTATTAATCGATAGGAACGGTAGGGAATGGTAGGAATAGGTAGGAACTGTAGGTACGTAAGCGCTACATGACGTATATGTAATAATAATAATAATGATCATCATTGAATTACATTTCAATTCAATAGTAAATTATTATTATTATTATTTTTTTGTTACAAATTACTAAAAATATTGTATTTCTCTCACTTTTGTTTTGTTATACATTACTATTCAACACAAAAATAAATATATATTTCATTTTTCTCTCACTGTATTTGCTTTGTATTAAAAAATAACATATATTTTGTCGTATAATTTATTTTATATTTTATTTTTTAAAACCTATTTATTTTGATATTTATATTTATATAGAAAACAACTATTGAATGTCATGTAAAGACTATTATATGGTCTATGGATTTGAATTTAAATTATTATAATAAAACAACTTCTTTATTGAAATAAAAATTAATTTTGTTTATTATAACTATTTTTAATATGGATAAAAAGAGATATATATGGTAGACATATAAAGCATAGTATATGCAATAAATACCTTTATTAAAACTACAGTATGTATAATATAATGCCATAATTCTCGCCTATTGTTATAAATTTATAATAAGAAAAATAAATTATTACTTTACGAAATACTATACGAAATATATATAACTATTTCAATACACAACACATAATAGCAATTCAATGGATGATTTGGATGCAAATATTGACACTTTTATGTGTAATGTATGTCAAGAATATTCTTTTGAAAATCTGCTTAAATTCTGTATAAATTAACATAAAATATGAGAGAATATTCTCTACTCTTCCCTATCTCTTGGGCTCTTAATTCCTAAAGCATTTTCACACATACAGTGGTGTTATGTAAACACATAATGGGAGAGAGAATATTCAATGATTGAAATAAAAAAAATATATAATTATATATAATCTGTAAAAACATATAGAAATTCAGCGATCACTTGATGTGATGTATGTGTGTATACAGTATAACAAGTGTTTGACTTTCAATTCATAAGCCTTTCTCTCGGCATTTAATGCGAATAAAATCTATTTTTAATAACTGGTAGTCATGTCTGTTGTGGTAGAGGTTGTATGAAAGTCACACATACATAGAGATGGTTAGACACATATACATAACCAGATAGTGGGGGTCTATAAGGGGGCGGGGGTTTTGGTAGAGATAATCGACACGAGTGTGTGAGCACGAGGTGCGAGTGTATGGTATGTAAAAAACGATATCGGTATTAATGGCCAACAATTTTGAGCGAGCAACCAAAATAATAATATTGATAATGTTTGTCAATGTATGGGTGTTTTGGATGTGTTTCGGGAGGGCTTAGAGGGGGGCGCAGAGCGTATCACTCGGTGAATGTGGTTTAATGTTAAATATATATGTATGTTGGTGGCGTGTAGATCGAGATAGTACATATTTACAACGATAATGATTTTTTGCCTACACTATAATAGTCACATATATCTAGAGTGGCCACCCGTCCCCCTCCCGGTCGAGGGGTGGGCCGCTGTTCTCATACATTCTGACTAAAATGTATAAATCAAATGACGAGATATTGATTTTTGATTGATATCTTTATATATGTAAACGATTTACATATATTTTACTTTAGATATAAAAAACATATAATGATTAAGAATTTTCAATATATAATTATTATTATTATGACAATCAATGGGTTTGAAAAATATTTATCATGTGTTGTATTGTGTGGTAAATGATTAGCTCAATTGAAGTAAAACAACCCCGATTCAATGTCAATGTTAATTTGTCAATGAAATGATGCGGTGGTGGTGGCAATGAATTTTGCACTATGTTGTTTTGTGTCAAACAATGATCTGGATGTTTGCAACCGGGTGGTTTGCTACAATATTAACGGCCCCCACACACCCCCGAACAAAGGGCCGATCGGGTCTACGATTGGTTTTATACACTAAACACATGTATAACACAACAACAAAAAACAACGAGACATCTATTTATATGTATAATGAGTTAAATGTTTTAAACATGTTTAATGATTGTTTTATAATATGTATGTAAGCACTGGGAAGTGGGGGGTGAATGTGGGGGGTGGGGGCGGGTTCACGGGTTTCTAGTTATCGATAATCCTAATTTAATATATATATATAATCATATCATATCTCGATCACAGGCCACAACACACAGCCCTCTGTCCGTCCATAGAGTTTATGCACACTATTTAAAAGCCAACAAAAGTTTTGAAAAACATTTTTTGAATCAAAATTTTGGGGACAAAAAACAATTTACACAAAAATAAGTTTGTGTTTTGTTTTACGGGGGTTTTTGTTTGTCGTTATGTTATAATTAATTTTAAAAATAAGTTTTTATAATAATTAATGTATAAATTTAATGATTAAATTTTTTTGTCGACGACACAGAGTTCCCACACACTTCCCGGTGTCCGTCCGTCCGGCGCTCGTATAATATATAACTATTCATAAACAACAGTAACAACGCTTTTGGGGGGAGTCGTCGGGCGGTCCGGACAAGTCGGGTAGTGGTGTCTGTAGTATAGTTGTAGTAATAGTTGTCAGCAATAGTGATGTGATAGTAGTTTATAAGTTGGATATCGATAGAGATGGGGTGGTGTACTGTATGTGTGTCGGTGTGTATGCATGTATGTAAATATTCATGTGTGTGATTTGTTGGGGGTTGCGATACATCTCTCGTACGTACGGTTTAGTGGGTGTGTGTGTTGTGTTGAATCGGGTGTATATCTCTCTCAATGAACCCATGAGCGACTGGACGGCGCTGTGGTCATCGTCGTGTTGTGCGCGGCCACCGACACCGATGTCTGCGCCGGGCCGACAACAGTAACCACACCTCCGCCGTGGAGTTGCGACAAGTGGTGCGAGTGGTGATGGTGTAGGCCCTGGGCGTCCATTATGTTGGACGACTGTCCGCCGGTGTGGGCGGCGGCGCCGCTCTGGCCGGTGGCGAAGTTGAAGTCCAACGAGCCGTCGACCGACAGCTCGTGGCGTATGACTGAGTCGACGTCGCACTCGAGGCCGCCGTGAAGTGAATCAAAATTGAGGTCCAAATCGTTTGGCAACTGATTGTTCAGCGACAGGAGGTGTCCCATCACTGTAGCTATAGGTGCCGGTAAGGGGTCGGGTGCGAGAGAAGGGATAGATATGTGTTAATTATGGCGCAAAACAACAGACTATTAAACGTTAACAAAGGGGTTAGACATACAGTATATCCGATACTGACCTCTGTTTTGGGCAGTAGTCGACTGGACAGTGCACTGGTGTTGCGGCGACGAGTATGACGGCGCCGTACTGGCCGTGAGGGCGGCCATCGTGTCCATCGTTTGGGCGGCGGTCAACACCGGCGACAAATTGGCCAAACTGTAGGTGCCGTTGGAGACACCGTTGAGCACATCGGCGGCCAACAGGAGCTGCGACGGCGAGCGGGCGCTGACGGCACCGCCGCTAACGTTGTTGAGTGCGGTCAGAGTGGTGGCTGAGCCGGACTCGCCCGGGGCCTGCGTGTGATAGTACTGGTCACCGGACTGTTGGCCGTTAGTCGTCGGGCCGTTAAGCTGGCCGTTGTTGTTGACGGGGGACGAGCTGTTGCCACCGCTACCGCCACCGTTGCCAACGGGGCTGTTATAGCCGGTGAGCGAACGATAGTTGCCTAACGTGTAGGTGTTGTTGAGCTGCAGGTGAGAGTTGGCGGGAGACAACTGGCCGGTGGGCGATGTCTTGTTGACGCCGAGGAAGGCGTTGTTGCCGCCCAACTTCATTGTGGTGGCCATCTCGACGAGCTGGTCGTTGACGGTGCTGGTGAACTGGTCCACGTCGGCGTTGCCGTATAGGCGCCCGATGTCGCCGTGACTCCAGCCGGTCAGCGGCGAGAGTGGCGGCACCTGTGATGCACATAATAGCGATGGCATTGCATTTAGTGTCACGTTTTATACAGATATATGCATAATAAATAGCAGAATCAGACTATTTTAAACTATTGTCGATTGTATTAATATTGATTTAATAAAAAATCACCTCGGTGCTAAACATGTGTTCTAGTCTACTGTAAATATAAATTTACTGTATAAGCATAATATGAGAGATAATTGATTGCAAACTATTATAAGCTTAGCATTAAAACTAAATAGAAAATTATAACTAATTAAAAATCATCCAGAACCTATTTTAATCTAGCTAGAAGTGGGAGATAGGGGTGGGGGTAGAAAGGGTTGTGTTGAACACTCACTTGACTGTCATGCATGTCGTTCTCGACGGCAGGTATGGGCGATAGTCGACCGCAAGAGGAGGCGTTGGATGAGGCGCGCGGGCGGAACTCCGGGCTCAGCTGAAAGCCGTGATGGAGGGGTGAGTCGGGAAACATATCCAACCCCTCGGACACCGACGAGGAAGGGCTGGGCGTCTGGTGTTCGAGCGATAGGCCGTTCTTCAGGGCCTCGATCTTCTTCTTGACGCGGCCGCGCTTTTTCTCGTACTTCTGGGTCTCCATACTAGTGGCCCGACGCCGGGCCGCCTTACCCGGCTTGGCGTCCGGGTTGATCATCCACCATGATGATTTCCCTGTGCCCTCGTTTTGTACTCTCATGAACCGGTTGTGTAGCGATAGGTTGTGTCGGATTGAATTCTGGTTGGTCAAATGAACAAATTGATATTGGTTAGTTTTGGCAAATTTTGTGTGTATTATTCTACATGTATTTAGTTTACAGTATAATTATAATGAATTGGTTATTTTTGCGCCCGAAAATTGTTACCACGTTTGATTTGAGATATTGATAATACAGTCTATAAATATTTCATCGAGCCATTTTTATATTTTTTACTTTGGCTTTTTTAGTAACACAAAACTATTTAAAACATGCATTTATTATGGGGTAAAGAATTTGTCGCATGAATAAAAACTCACATAAATTAGTTGATAAAAATCGCAGCGCAAAATAAATCCTAAAATACTCTCTCTCTCTCTCTCTCTCTCTCTCTCTCTCGACATTTCTATCCGTGAATTCAATAATCGATTTCTCGATTTTATTTTTCTTTCACCAGTTTTTTTGCCGTCTTTTATAATATTATTTGAAAGAGAAATGAAAATAAAATTACTATCTCTTTATAAAACGAGATACATATTGATATATATTCCTAATAATTTATATATAATATTAACGATTAATGTATTGTGGCATTTGTCATATGCCCACGATCATTTAGGCTCATAGGTATACATATATACATACAATACAATACATTGAATAAAACATAACATTACACACAAAACAATTCTGTATGCCTTTAGTGTATGTGTGTGTCTCTAAATATCTCTCGTTTAGATGTCCTTGATACAAAATTAAATGTTTTATAATGGCCAAAATTATACACTACATCATTTTATTTTTATCTATCTATATCTCTATCGGTGTCTATCAATCAATTAATTCTCAATCAATCGATGATTTAATTTTAATTTTTGTAATCAACTATTTTTTTTTGTCTCTTCGCTCTTCAAATCAATACATTTTATTATTATTATTATTAATATTATATTATATTAAAAAATCGATACATTTTTTGGATATATTTTGAAACGATAGAAGAAAAACCTGTGTTT